TGATACGATTGAGTGATGAACTGCCTTGACTTCGCACAACACAACCATTATTAGCCTTCAAATCACATTTCGTATTGTTTTCTTTGCCAAAGATAGCAATACATTGACTCAAATTCATCGGCAATATCATCACCAGATAGTCCAATGAGTGGGCTATCTATTTGTCACATAAGCCCTTCCGCTAATACCAAGAAAACCCCCGATAAATGAGTAGACAGTGTATCGGTTCCCACACCACGGTATCAATTGCTATCAATATTTGCTATCAATTTGTGTATATTTTTAAGTGTTTTAATCCTTTTTTTAAAGAGTGATCGATAGAAAAGAAAAAAGTAAAAGCATTTAAAAGAAAATCAGAAAAATTCAATATATTTTATCGAAAACTTGATTAAATGTGAAGCACTTGTAGTTCTTGTGGCCAATTATATCGGGGGAGAGCTTTTGTTTGAGGCGTCGCGAAGGAGATGCTGTAGTGTTAGTCTATTGACCCATATATTGCATGATCAGTTTGAAAGTGTATGTATGGATGCCTCGCAGGTAACTTTCACTTTTGTATTTTCGGCCACAATCTAAAACTACTGTATTATACAGAAAAAAATTTATTGTTTGCGCTCTCATTATACGATCAGTTTTGTAAAAATCAGTTGAAAATCATTTTTATTGCAACGAAAAAACAACAAACGATTATTAGTTTGTAAATTGAGAATTAATTTCTACTAAAACAAGCCTTTAAAAACACTTTATTAGCAGAAAAAGCAAATATTTTACGTTTTTAATGAAATAATTTGAAAAAACAAAACTAATACTTTTCCTAAATAGAAACAACCTTTTCTTCATACAAAATGAGTGGAAAAAATTAAACAAAAATTTTTATAAAAGATTTTTTTGGTAAGAAAAAATAATTTTCATTTCATTTTCGTCCTCTAATTCGATGATAGGTTTCGTGACGTAAGTCTCGTTTTGGGAGAAGAGAGGCTGAAATGTGATTCGGAATATAGGCGGTCACGTTGTGCTGTGACTGGTGTGTGAGTGAGACCTGTGCTCCAGTGCTATGAAATTTATGAATATATCTCTCCATTCTCTCATACTATCTCTCTCTCCCTCTCTCCATAACTTCTGTGTATATAATCTTCATTTTTATAGTTTAGTTCTTCACTAATGGTTAAGCATTCATAAGTACCGATTCGTTGCCTCTTTTTACCCACACATCACTTCTTTGCTCTCTCTTAAAGAGTTTGCAATACTTTTTGTAACACTTTTTCTCTCGTAATCAAAAGAGTATTGCTTTTATTAGAGAAAGAATAATGTTCTCAAAGGTTGTATATTTGATGGTTTTAGTGTATTGTGTAAACTATTTAAGTGGTGTTCCCATTGGTTTCGATGATCAAGTGAAGAGCGTTTGGTTTAATTACGTGAACCACACGTTAAGCGCACTGAAAGATGCGGTCATTAACGAGAATCAAACACAAAACCATAGTATGAGTGATATTTATTGCATTCAAGACATTATGGAAACTATCGGTGAATCACAAAAAGGCAAACTCTGGGCCAATCAAAGTAAGCAATTCTTTTACTAATCAAATGTATATTTTATTTTATTTTGAAAGAAATTAGATTTCTTTTTTGTGTTACATTTTATTGACATTTTCATCGCTAACTTCCTTTACTTTTATATAACACATCTCTAATCGGATCGTTATTCTTGAACTTGTATTCAAATTAACCCTTTTAGTGATGGGCAGAGGGTTTGGTCCAGACTATCGGCTGGAAATCCTATTAACACCCGATTATGCTTTCAATAAATCTTTAGAAACGATCAAATATTTAGAAACGATATTTTATTTGTTTATTAATGTTGTGTAATTATGTAATACTATGTGTAAAGAAAGTATTTCCTAACAATTCTATCAACTGTTAAAATGTTTGAAATGCTTTTTGATTATAAAATTAGCGTTGAATTAATGCAAAACTAAATGATGTGAAAAATAAAACTTTTTCATATCTATTTCCCAACCATTCATTTGCCTCCAAAGAAAAGTGAAAGTTGTTTCCCTCGATTTCTTTAACTCCTCTCTCTCTCTCTCTCTCTCTCTCTTAAATAGTAAAAAGCATTTTAGCGTAGAGTGTCTGCCGAAAAAATGGGTCACCAGAAGCTCCCGGTCTTAACTTTATCTGTTGTTATCTTTACAATCTTTTATTGAATTTAAATCATTTACTTAATTAAGTGAAGAGTTTCTGGTGTTTAAAAAAGAGGAAAAAAAATTAAGACTTAATTAAAATCATGTCTCAACACTAGTACTACTCCACCCACACCTCCGCAGCCAAAAGGGATGGCCTATTGATAGTGAACATTGAATAGAGAGAAAGTGTGTGTCGATTGGAGTTTAACCACTGATTCGTGAATTGAAATGCATTTTCCTGTCATGTTTTTATATGTACTCTCAATGGGGAGTCGTTTTTTGGTGATATTTTTACAGACATTATTGAACTCATTATAAAAGAGCGCTTCAAAGTAGTGGAGGTCGTCGTCGAAGAGATCGGAGGATAATCGGAACCGAATTGTATTCATATCAATGACCGGTTCTGTGCTGTACTTGACCTCAGCCTCACCTGTCCATCGGCTTTGCTTTTTGGTAGTGGAGGTGTGGCTCAAGGGTTCACTTGTGTCTTATTCCCATCCATTGTTTGCCGTCAAATGTCGTGAATGAAAGTGAACGCTGACCGCGAGAGAGAGAGAGAGAGAGAGAGGAGTTAAAGAAATCGAGGGAAACAACTTTCACTTTTCTTTGGAGGCAAATGAATGGTTGGGAAATAGATATGAAAAAGTTTTATTTTTCACACTTTCATTCACGACATTTGACGGCAAACAATGGATGGGAATAAGACACAAGTGAACCCTTGAGCCACACCTCCGCAGCCAAAAGGGATGGCCTATTGATAGTGAACATTGAAGAGAGAGAGAGAGAGAGAGAGAGAGAGCAGATAGTTTTGCCAATAGTTCCCCTTTTATTGCACTGTTTCTGAGTATAAGTTAAGAGGTTTTATAGCCTGAAGTGACAACTATTCCTAACTTTTATACAAAAACTTTTGTAAACTATTGTAAAATAGTTTAAATTAGAGAAATATCTCAAATGAAAGCGTAAGTGAAAACAGAAATCATGCCAACAGTGACATTGAAATCGCGGACACATTCAGCTCATTGTCTATTAAATAACTTTTACAATCTTTTTAACACTTTTCTCGATCCTATTTTATTGAATAACTTAATTATTATATTATTACATGTACTTTATATTAATATAACACAAATAAAATAAAAGTTTATAAAAAATGTTGATTAAATTGTATTTATAACAAAATTCAATATCAATTGTTTAGTGATAGACTCGATGGGACGGCCGAACTCAGGTGTGTTAAAAATGAGTCTCTCATTCCTGGGCTTCTATTCGGAATGTATTGACACAAAAGCGCCAAACTTTGAGACAAAGTACTGTTTGGCGACAATTCATTTGCCGAAAACAAATTCCGATTTCTTTCACGTAAGAGAACCAAAACATTTAGACACCAAAAAAGCTGTTGCATGTGATTAGCGGACAAAATGAATGACAAAACTATTGTATATTAACAGAAATTAACAAACTTGACGTCAAATATACTGTCGAAAGTTCCCGTACGGGTCGGCACATGTGTTCCCGCCTCGTGTTCACCACAATTTGTGGCCAAACTCTTCTCCAGAAGTAAGTCTAAGTTTAAGCTGCCTTTCAATGTTAACACACAAAATGCTTAACAATAAGCTATTTATTCAATGCACTACTTATTTGCATCGTATCCTTAAATGACTCTTTCGTGCAAATCATTTGGTGTTTAATCAAAAAAGTTTTGCTCAAAACATATCACTCTTTTAAACCCACATTTGAATGCAATAAAAATCATTTTGATTTAAGCGATGCTTTTAATTCTCATTTGTATTTTATTTGATTATAATTTTTAGTCTCTTCATCACTGATAAGCGAATCCAGTGTTTCGGTCAACAAATGCTATAAAAGAAGCGACGATAACATTGAAACAGACATTTCATCGATTATTGTAATGTATATAAAGTATTCAATCGGTTCATTGAAAAGACGATTCAAATGTCATTTTGTAACCCAAATGCAGTTCTGTGTTCGGACTCATACTAGCGATGGTAATAGTGGGCACTCTATGCGATCACTGGGCGCTGGAAAGTCACTCTCAGTTGGAACTACTCTTTCATCCAAATAATACGGATTCCCAGAAGATTACCAAATCATTTGAATCATACGAGAAGAGCTCCAAATCGCTTCTCTATGAGATTCTCATTTGCTTTTCGGTCAAAATAAACGCCCGAAAAATATTCGACACAAAAGGCACCGACACTACGATACAAGTGTTTCACGGCATTCGTGTCCTCTCCATGTTATGGATACTAATCGGTCATTCGTTCGCATTCGCCGTCCAATGGATGACATTCAGTGAGTCATTACAAAACAAATACTCAAACAAATCGATATTAATTACAATTGATTACAATTACAGGAAATCCTTTAGTGATACGAGAAGTGCCTCAAAATATAATGAGTCAGTTATTAGCGAACGGAACCTTTTCGGTCGACTGTTTCTTCTTCATAAGGTTTGACACCAAAAACAATGTCCTGTAGTTTTGCATCTCTTTCTAACATTCAATTATACATTTTTAGTGGATTTTTAGTCTCATATATAGCGATGACAAAAATGAAAAGAAGCGAAAAGTCTCTCAACAACTCGAGACCCAATATATTGCTCTTCTATTTCCATCGATACCTACGAATGACACCATCAATGATGGCAGTGATCGCCTTCAGCGCCACTTTACTCCGGTATTTGGGTTCTGGCCCTCAATGGACTCAATCCATAACTATGTTCAACGGCTGGTGTCAGAAGAATTGGTGGATTAACAGCTTATATCTACACAATTTTGTCAATACCCAGAATATGGTAAATCAATGATATACATGACACTATCAAAAAGCATAACTAAACAAATTATTTAATTCAGTGTTTAAGTCATTCGTGGTATTCAGCAGTCGATATGCAATTCTACTTCTTGTCGCCACTGATTCTCATCCCGTTATACATGAAGCCAATGCTGGGAATATGTTTAGCAATAGTGGCTCTGTTCGCTTCCATGGGGTTCACTGGGTATCTGACACTAATCAACGGCTTCCCAGCCGTCCCTTATATCAATGATGTCATGTATGTCCACAAAAGCACTCTTTCATTCACAATCAAAACACCACTCATTCTTTCAATCACGTCAATAGCGAACAGGCAGTGGTCGACAAATACTATGCACTGCTTTACATAAAGCCTTACTGTAGAGTTGGCCCGTATTTGGTGGGCATTCTCTTGGCGTACGCTATCTATACGTCCAAAGGAGATATCAAAATGAAAAAAGTAATTCCCAAACACTTTCACGACTAGTATTTTTGTTTTGTAAACTAATGCATAAGTTTGTATGTATTGTTTGTGCAGTTCTATTCAATTACGGGTTGGTTTATCTCGTTTGTGGTCAGTTTCGGTGTACTGTTCGCTATGCTTCCGGCCAACAACGGCAACGTTCCCGAAGTACACATCGCAGCCCTGTATAGCTCCACATCGCGAACCATTTGGGCGCTGAGTCTGGCGTGGGTTACGTTCGCCTGCATTACAGGCAACGGCGGTTTCGTCAACGCCTTCCTATCGGCGCGCGTATGGATGCCATTGAGTCGACTGACGCACTGCTCCTATTTGGTCCATCCCATCGTCATGTCTGTCCTCTACGGCAGTCGCGAACATCCCTTCGACTTTTCGAGTTATCTTTTCGTAAGTTATCATTCGCTTACTTATACTCACCAAACATTTACAAGCAATACATTCATAAATTTCATTCAATTGCAGACATACTTCACAATTAGCCACATATTTATAACATATATCGTATCGTTCGTACTCTCATTGCTGATAGAGTCGCCATTCATCGCCATTTCCAGGCTATTCATCACCAGAAGGACGTGAAACTGGAGTGAAACTCTAAAACTAGAGCTTTTCATAGTATATATAGATTGATCACAATGTATATAGACTTTACTTACATTATGCTAACAGACAAACCCTAAGACAATATCAAATTTACATATCTATAAGAATATACTAAAGGGTCGCACAAATGATGCCGTCATTCATACCGTCCGACGAAAATGACATTAAGACTTGAGTTAATATATATTTTTGTTAAACAAAAATCCAAAAAGTTATGTTTTCTAAATCAAAAGCTAGTGTTAATCGAAACAATTCAATGCCTAAAACCACTTTATGTAAAGTTTTAAACTTCTTGATAATACTGTACTTAAGACGTGTTTTTGTCTCTAAAACGTAAATCACATCTAAATTGTAAAAATTCAAAAAAACAACAAAAATTAATGTAAAATGAGAAAAGAAGACACGCATTGCAAACACTATTCAAAAACTTCTTTTCTCATTAATAATTAAAACGTCAAAAAGTAATTCAATTTATTTATAATTTTGGTTTTTTATGTATAAATGTTTACCGATTTTATAAGAGATGAACATTTAATCCAAAAAGATTTTGAAAACTTAAGTTGATATGAAAGAGAGGTTTCAGTAATTAATTAAATTTTAGTTAATATACAACAGCAATGGTTTGAATGCATAGTTATTGTCTAATAATAATAATAATTTAGTCATTAAAAACCAACACAAATATCAATATAATTGCTTTAAATGGTTAAAGGAATGGCAGATCAGATATCTTACCCGACCATTGAATTGAGGTTTTGGACAAAAGACATGCTCTTAAAAGAGAAACAAATCAAGAGTTTTTTGTTTTCACTCAAATCCTAAATAAATAGTTTTTTGTACAAATAAAAGCCAATATTTTTTGCAAAATAGTTTAAACATATATAAGTTATTTCATAATAATAGCAATAATTATAATAATAATAATATATAAAAAGGTTTTATACGAATAAATGAAATTTTGTAAAAATCAATTCATTTTTATGTTATTTTTGACAAATACTACCAATTCTTCAGTGAACTAAAAAGTGTGGATGAAATCGATTGCTTCCTATAGACCAATGACTTGGACGTCGATATGCGGACCAAATGAATGATTATAGTGAGTGACACACAGACTGTGAGGTCAGCTTACAAGAGATGAGACTATTTTTGTGGTGAAAGTTATCATCATATGATAAAATGGAGAGTAATATGAATTTCAAAATACATGGCATCACATAATTCACTGCAAGAGAGATAAACGAATATCGCATTGTTTTCATGTTATTTTATACCTTATGTTATGTTAATAATGATTTTGTTTAAGATTTCATAAAACAATAGTAAATTAGGATTGCATTGAATTCAAAGGTTTTGCTATCAATTCAAAAAAAATAAGGATTTGATTCATAGGATTCATAAAATATATTCAAAATTCAAAAGTAAATATCAATATAATTCAATATATTCTCAACATTTCAAGTATGACAGGACTCACTCCTATACCACTTCTCCTCTATACTTACCCAACGCTTTATTATTGAGATAAATCTGAAAGAGTCTAATCAACTATTTATGCATACATTGCAATCATTTTCATATCAAATCAATCAAAAATAATAAATGTCTCTTAAGATATACATAAAATCAATAAAACCTGAATATAATTTACCACAAACTCAATCATTAACACATTAATTAAGACACTCACCAGAAAAATCACTGCGAGTTGTGTTGCGATGGATTTGGCGGATAGTTAGCGTAGTTATAGCCCGGATAGGCCACTGCCGACGGATTGCCGGACTCGCTCTTTACGCCCGAGTGGTCGGCGCCTGACTTGTCGTCTCCCGACTAAACAAATTTCAATCAAACAATTGGCAAAAAAAAAACAACTAAATTATACCGCTTTTGGTCCGCCTTTCATCATCTGCTCAATCATTTCCGCCTCTTTAATCATACCATAAGCCCTATAATATTCAACCCACTGTTGGTAAAGAGCTTCTTGATTGGCGCCGCCTTGCGATGGATCAGTTGGTGGCCCACCGGACGAACCATCGGCGCTGCCGTTCGCGTTGGGAGCAAAACCGGTTGGCGCCGATGGGTTGGGAGTGGCGGCCGCAGCGCCCTGTCCTGACTGAGCGTAGTATTGGGCATAATATGCAGCCCACGCCGCGTAGTTGTCTTGACTCTTGTCTATTAAATGGTGAAACAAATGTCATTAGATTTAAAAGGCATTCAAACAATTATATTATGAAATGAATAAAATAGTTTCAAATCAAATGATGGCTAATATCGCACAGATTGACACCTAATTTGCAAATGTGACGCAAAGTAAGCTCTAATTCTGCGCCAAACAAAATCAAACTCATTTCAAAAACAATCATTTGCTTACTCTCTTCGGGTTGTGATGGCTCTGATTGTTGCCAATATTGGGGCCATTGATTGGATGATTGGTTGTCACTATAAACACACATTAAATTAGAAATAAATATAAACCATTGCCATAAAACACAACTCACTTATAAGATGGAGTTGGGGTGGCGTTTGAGGTGCCGTTAACCTTATCCATGATCAACGCCTGCGCGTACTCTATCTTATCGGGCGGTCCCCTAATCAAGAAGTACTTCTGGTCGGGATCGCCATTTCGGGTCACTTTCTCCAACTCTATATCGCAACCCGACTGCTGTTTCAGGCCTTTAATAGTGTCGCCACCCCTACCGATAACGGCGCCCGTCCTGTGAGCGGGAATACCGAACCGAACTTCTTCGCCGTCGCGGTGTTTGGGAGGACCTCTTCCTTGCTATTCATCCAAACGGCAACAAAAAGCATACAATTGAACACAAATTGGCAAAAACAACACACAATCGCTATACAAACCATTGCATTCTCGACAATCTCGTTAACCATATCGACGGCCCGTTTGACGGCATCGGGATTACCGCCGATTTGGCACAACTTATTGCCGTTTTGGTCCACTTTTGTTGTGTCGAACTGCACTTTACAGCCGCTGTCCTGTTGTATGCGTCTAATGGTTTCGCCGCCTTTGCCGATGACGAGCCCGATATACTGCGGCGGAACCGGCACTTCCACGTTATTCATGCGCTGCGAGCCGTACTCATTGGTCATATTCTTGTTGAACGAGTTGCTGCTCTTGAGGCGCACCGTTTCGATCTCCTTCTCCGTCAAGAGATCGTTCACCAGTTGTCGCGCGTAATCCACTTTATCGGGCGGTCCGACAATTCGCAACTGTTTGTCCGTATCGGTCGCCTCATTGGTCTCCTGGAAGACAGTCATCTTCACGCCCGCCCTCTCCTGAAGGTTGCGTATCATTTCGCCGCCCTTTCCGATAACATATCCCACTTTATTCCCGGGAACCATCATATCCAGCGTCTTCTCCCCATTCATCACAATCCCATCCATATATCGCTGATTCTTATTCGGTTTGTTGAATGTCTGGTGTTTCATAGCAGCCAATTGGGCGCCGATTGCTGGACAAACACATCAAACCACTCATTACAGCACTTCACACAACACAACCATTCAATACACTTACGATCGTTGAAAGAGGCCATACGCTTGGGTTCGTGTCGATCATCTGTTAAGAGAGCACAACAGAAGTTGTTAATTAATCACTTATTTAATGGTAATTAATATCTTGTGATAAGATCTACTATCAAACGCTACTCATTGTATGGGAGTTAGTGTTAGCGAATTCCTATCTATTTGTTTCATGTCTTGCATTCACTGATTAACCATTCATTTCAATACAATGAACGGCTATTTGTAAATGTGATGCAATCAAAAGTACATCTGTTTTAATCAAACCATTCATACCGTCGTCGAAGGATCGCTTGGAAGACATGCGGTCTCTGTCTCTGTCGCCAGAGGGTGGCGGACCTCCTAGAGGTGGTCCTCCGCCGCCACCGCCACCCCCTCCGCCACCACCGGAACCACCGCCGGCTTCCCTATTGATCTTCGCCGCCAACTGTTGGGCAATAAAAAAGACATTAACTCGAGATCTAATGGATGTGTTTTGGGTGCCAGTGATGGCCACATGTGGTGTACAGACCTGTCGGGCGCGTTGTAACGCCTCCTGAAAGGCCTGATTAGAGATGGCCTGAGAGGCGGCCGACGAACCATTGCTTGACTCCATTCTCGCGATTCAAACACTCAATCGATGCGCGGATTCAATGACCGGTAAAATGAATTCAATTGATCCGCAAATCAAGTCTTGTGTCCAAACGTGTGCTTCAAATGAGTGTTCAATCGAAATGAATGGCGAAAATGAATTCAATTTGTGATTAGCGTTCACTTCAACCCTAAAAAGACTGTAATATTGGAGTCAAACACTGCACGTAGTCTTCAACACATAAGGAGTTCACTTCACACACAAACACCAGTACAACAAAACACTTGTCAAACACTCCGGTTTCGTACCATTCAATTAGTTCTGCGGTCAACCCCTACCCCTCCTCCCCCTCACCAGGCGTTACGTTGTATTTGAATCATTCGCTATAAAGCATTGTCTCTCTCGCTCTCTCTCTTATTTGAGTGAAGAGGGCGTCAAAAACGTCGGCAAATAAAATGAAGACACGTTTAAAGTGGACGTAATTTGTGGACACGTATTGAGAGAGCGTTTCTGAACGTAAATAACAGGCTTTTAAAAAATTAGATGAGAAATAGTGTTATGTTTTGTCCAAATTTAAGCCCTAATTGTAATGAATGACTGGATTTAATGGACTGAATGTAAGCATTGAATTGATTTCTCATTAATTGTATGCCATTTGGTATAAACACTGAATCCAATGGTAAGCATTCATACAATCACTTAATAGTATGAGTGATGTGTTTATGTGTTATTCATGGCATTCATAACGTGTAGTGACCGTCAAAAATATGCCCTCAAATATGATATGTTTTTTAATTGAATTTTGTTTAGTTTTTAATTATGCGTTGATTTTGTGCCTCATTTTGAGATAAATTTATGCATTTTATTCACAATTAGTTTGTGTTTTATCTCTCAGACTGTTGTCCGGCGTTTAATTGAATGTAAATTTCATGTTTAGTCACATATTTTTTATTTACAGTTATGTTTTTACCATATATTTCACGATTATTTGCGATATTTGGCTAACAATTGCATACAAAACAGTTATTTTAGTTAATTAGCCGTTAATTGTTTTTATTACTCTTTAATACAATATATATTTATTTTGTTAATTATATGTAATTTAAAAGTTTTACATGAATTGTGAAGTGATTTGATGATTGGTTGAAGTGTTGAAACACTTGATACTTTTAATTGCCATTTATAGTGTGTGTTATATTACTTATATAAATATCACTTATATTTAAAATATTATTAATTCATTATTAGCTAATAATCGGACGATTTTTCTATGAATTATTTATAGATTATATTAATATTGGTAATACTATTTACGGTATAATAAATATCTATATGTTTATGATATGGACTTCCGATAAATACATGCTATAATTGACAAGTTTTTTAATTTCAATGTCTAGAAACGATATGCGATAAAAATATTGCCTAAAATAGTTAATCTTGTGTTTAATTAATTAATTTACATTTAATTTTGTTAGTTATTGAAAATTTGTTTTTTTATTCGTTAAACATTTTGCAATTAATCAATTGATTTATAACTGTATTTCTCATTAATACCTGTCCTCTCTCTCCTAACATATATACAGATCCGTCCCATTCATCCATTTGGCGAAAACTGGATTCCGATCTAAGAGTTATACCAATGGTTTAGTTTGTGTTTTAGTTGTGTTTCTCTTCATTCTCTCTCAGACTCTCTCACAGCATATCGTTTGCACTCAAAAACTCTATGTTTGAAGAGTTAATGTCTTAATAGTCAACAACTTT